TAAAAGAACCATAAAAGGAGCAGAGAGAGGCGGCATCTACATTCCTGTAAAAGACATGATTAATCTTCCTCATTATTAGCCTACCCCTGACTCCATTTCTCTTAGCCTGCAACTACAGCCCCCCTGACCCCAGAGAGGTTGAGAAGTTGATTCGTGAATTTTATTTCCCACTTCTATTCTTGACCAAAAATAAAAATATCCATCGCTTCTCAATCAGCGCTCAGTCTTGTTATTGTTTCCACAATTCCAAGGGAAAAAGAACCCAGTTTGGGGTCAGAAACTGCTAACAGGAACACAAAAATGCATCCTTTGTGGGTAACGGATGTTTAAGACAGGCAGGCAGGAGAGGGTTAGAGAAGCCAAAGGCAGCTTGCTTTGGTTCTTTCCCTCCCTGACACAGAGCCTGGCTTCCCTCCCAGGCAGGATCACAGTGCCTTCTTCCCGGGACTCCTGCATGTGAAGACACCAGTGGGCACCTTCTGGTAGTTTATTATTATGCAGTTCGTTTCATCTCATTTCCTTCCTGTTTTGTACAGACTGATTTCCCCTTTGCTGACTCTGTCAGCTGAGTTCAAAACCAGGGTCAAAACTGTGCTCACAACACAAATGGCTTCTTGTGAACCCTGGCTGGGTTTTGGGAGGCGATTGCCAGGCTTTTAGTTCCTTATGAAGTTTCCCTGGCCACAAAGGAGCCTTGTGTGTGACCAAATGGTGCTGGGTGTGAGCCCAGCTAGGCCTGTTATACGGTGAGTTGTCTCTGATGCTTTCATGGCCTGCAAACTCTCAATCTTGGAGGGTGCTGTGACCTTAAAGTGACCTTCCCTGTGAGAAAAAAAAAAAAACAAAACAGCCAGACATGGTTGTGCTTGCCTATAATCTCAGCACTCTGGAGGCTGAGTCAGGAGGGTCATGACTTCAAGACCAGATTGGGGTACAAAATAAGACCCTGTCTCAAAAAAAAAAACCCTAACAAATTTTGACATAGCCAAGTAAAACAAAAATCAAAATAAAACGAACTAACCTCTGATTTTCCTGGGGAGTGCCCAGTTGGCAATTATCAGTGATTGAGAACAAATTAGAGAGTCTTGGAAAGCCCATCCCCTCAGTATTTAGTGCTTGGGAAATTCTATTTCAGATCTTTGAGAGAATAGAAAAGGATTCCAGTGAGTATTCCTAATTTGAAAAATCTGTTCTTCAATTTTCCTTCTTAATCCTAGAGATACTTTTTTTTAATAACAGGGACCTCTTATGACCATATGTCAAATGTGTAAATTCAAATTTAGTAGGATGCCCACAAGGCAGCACATAGGCTGGTCTTATGGCAGTTTTGGTCAGGGTGATTCACAGGCCTCGGGGAACTAACCAAAGCCTACCTTTTGGCCCAGTTTCCTTGTCACCCTACAGGAATGTTTTACCTTTGAAGGGCTGGAGGGGTTTGGGGTGGAATCCAGGGCCTGACCTGCCAGGCAAGTGCTCTACCACTGAGCTCTCCTCCCAGGCCCTGTCCCAGTACTTTTTATTTTTATTTTTTGGTAGTACTGGGGTGAACCTTCACAATGAGCTACATACCCAGCCCTAACACTAAACTATCCCCTCCAGGCCCAGTATTTTTTTTTTTCCAGTATAGGGACTCAAACCCAGGGCCACCACACTGAGCTACACCCTCAGCCCTTTTTTAATTTTTCAATTTTGAGATAGGGTATTGCTAAGTGGCTAAATTGCCCAGGTTGAGCTCTAACTTGTAATCCTCCTGCCTCAGCCTCCCAGAGTACTAGGATTACAAGCTTGTGCCACCACGCCTGGCTTGTTCTTTGATTACATTGTGGAAACTGGACATAGGATACAGTATCAAACACGTGTGCCTTCCAAGTCTGACTGTGCTGCGTGCAGCTGTGACCCTAACCAGGTTACTTAGTCTCAGTAAGCCACAGGTTCCTAGGTTGTGAGCGTAGAGCAATGGTTTGATACTGTCAGGGACGTTTATAGGATTGCTTAAAAAGTACATTCCCTGGGTGCGTATAACACCAGAAGTTTTTCTGACTTCTTAAAGTAAGAGCTTCTGAATTCCGGGAGAACTCCAGGAATGCAGAATTCTTTCAGGTCTAAGCCAGTATAGGCCCCAGACAGGAAGCTAACAACGGAATTTATCCGACGCTATTATATCGGTTTTCTAACTTCATCTGCAGAAGCAGTGAGCCGTTAACCCCTGTACCGCAGGATGTGCCGGGTAGGTGGAGGGGTGTCCAGGAATACCTGGCAAGGAATTTGGATGTAGGGTTTTACCAAGCAGAAGATTTAAGAGCCAGAATGGCTTCACAGCGTCACCTGAGCGGTTACCGCCTAGACACCCGGGGAGCGCGCCCCCTAGGGGCGCCCAGGAGCAGAGCGACCGGCCTCGCTGAGAGTCCGACTCGGGTTTCTATTTGAAAACTTTCTGCTTTCTTAGGCAGCGTCTCTCTGCCCGAGATCTTGGGGCTCTCCGACGCACACCTTCGCTGAAATCCCAAGCGGTCGCCGCCAGAGGGCAAGATGACGACCGGGTAGGATCAACACTGTTAGGGAGGAGTCCCTGGGATGAAGAGGTTCCGGGTGCAGATGCCGGTAAGTTGCCGGGCCCCTGATTTCAGTGCAAAGGTATCCAAATCCCTCACTCATCACTCGAAGCAACTGTACTGGATCTAAATATTACTATTTAGGGTGTTCAGGGCCTGGGACTCTCATTTCTGCCAGGTGTGCGTTCATCCCCTTATTTCAGTCCTGAAGGAGAGGTTTCTGCGGGGCGAGGGGGGGAGATGGGCGCAAAGGCGCTTGCTGCCCGCCTGGCTCCGCTTGGGGCTGGGGCACCGCAGCGCCGGGTCCTAACGAGCATCTGGGGGTGCGTGGCCTCCGGGAGGAGCCTCTCC